AGACGCTATCTAGATATAATAGTGAATACTCTAAACCAGTGTTTCCCAAAGTGGGCGATATCGCCCCCCTGGGGGCGGTCGAAAGATTTTTGGGGGGGGGGGGAAGGAAGAAGAGGGCGGTAGGGGGGCGATAGTCCGCAGTCGAAGTCAGAAGTTCCAGCGTGTTTTTTGCCGATTTGTACACAACACGTGCTGCACATGACTCCCAGCGATGGTTTTATCATCCAGATCTGTTTTTTCAACCTCTCCTGGGTTTACGTCTCGGACAAATTAAGGGCCGGCCTCACGGCCAAATCCCAAATTCAATGATGAAGGAATATCTCTCAAACTAATTAACTTAACTCGATGAAACTTGGTACACGTATTCATTAGGATCTAGCGGTAATGTTTGGCTCGTGAAAATTTTGTAAATTTTATCTTCATTTGTTTTGGCCATAGTTATATGGCAATACGGGCCGAAATTCTCAGTGATCAAGGAATTACAACCCAAACTACTGAGCAGATTCGAACGAAATTTTGAATTTACAGTCATAACTACCGAACGGTAATGTTTAGCTCGTGAAAATTTTGCGATTGTGCCTTCGTTCGCGAGTTTTTTCATTTCATCTTCATTCGTGATTTAAACAGGAATACGTGCTTAAATTCGCTGTAATCGAATAATTTCCAAACTACTGAACAGATTTGAAAGAAACTTAGTATTTAAATACCTAACCTCAGCAACGGTGATGTTTAGCTCGTTACAATTTTTTTTTTATTTTGCCTTCGTTTGAGAGTTATACGGCTATACGTATACGGCTCTTTATTAAACCGGCCGGTAGAAAAGCCGGTCGTTTCTCCTATATCTGTATAACTCGCAAACGAAAGCAAAATAGAAAAATTGTCACGAGCTAAACATCACCGCTGGGAGGTTAGGTATTTATATCCAAAGTTTCGTTGAAATCTGTTCAGTAGTTAGATTAAAAGAAATTTCTTGATCGCCGCGAATTTAAGCGACAAATTAACCGGAGATATGGGCCGAATATAAGGAAGTGTGAAATCAAGAATGACGGTGAAATGAAGAAAAACTCGCAAACGAAGGTAAATCGAAAAAATTTTAGAAGCTAAAAATTACCATTTTGTAGTTAAGAATGTATATTCAAAATTTCGTTCAAATCTGTTCAGTAGTTTGGAAGAAATTCTTAGAGCACTGCGAACTTCGGCCTGTATCGCAATATAACTCATGAATGAAGGTGAAATTCAAAAAATTTTCACGATCTAAACATCACCGTTAGGTTCTGTTGGATACATGTTCCAAGTTTCATTGAGCTGCGTTCATCAAGTTTGGACATATTATTTGATAATTGAATTTGGAGATTGGTCGTGAGACTGGCCACGAGTCCGCGGCTGTAAATTTGCCTTAGACGTCATAGGTTTCTAGTGCTGAAACAGTTAAAACAGCTGAAAAATATATTGGTTCACCAAATGGAATTCTATTTGTGAAATACACATTTGTGTTTAGCCTTTATCTTTTAAAATTGCAGCGTACTAAATGTCAAGAAAGATGCGTATGTTTATATACATATGTGTCTTTGGGGGGCGCTAGAAATTCACTAGGGAGCCAAAGGGGGCACCAGCCTGGAAAAATTTTGGAATCACTGCTCTAAACGATCAATTCAAAAAACATTCTGAGACAAATTCATCAGCAGCCTTCCTATGTTTATTTAATAACATATTCTTACGTAGTGCGCATCTTGTTGTAGTTGATTTAAATTTCAGTGCGCCGAAATATTGGCACCCATTCAGATTTGTACCTTTGAATTTTTTTTAATGCACGCAGGCTTTGTTAGTGATGAAGTCACTGCAGTGGCAAGATGTGGTAATGGTGCTGGGGGCATTGGGCGCAGTTGCGTTATGGCACCGAGGGGGTCTTCACACCATCACCACAGTCTCCGAGCCAAGCCACCTCTACTCGACGCACCCCGTACCATTCGTGGTTACTTTGTGCTCAGGTCTGTGATCGAACCAATTTATTGGCTTTATCTTCTCAATAAAAGTTTGTAACGTGGCAAGATTTAGTTATTTATCAATACCTATGGTAACATTAGAGTTGAAGTTAATGAACTTGAAACATTTCACAACATGTACCTGCATTAAATGACTCAACAATAATTTAGAGTCTTAGCCAAAGTTGTATAATGGATATACTCATCAGAAAGTATGAATATTAATTTCGAAATGACAGAATTTGTTTATCATTGGAACCATGAGATATCATTTAAATTTATTGCATCAACAAAAACTTGATCACAAAGAGTTGTCACTAATTTATTACGAAGATTTAATTAGTTATGAACGAATCATACATGACTGAATCAGTACAAAATAGTGAACATCGCCCGCAGATCAGTTCACGGACACGCTCAGCTGTGTCTGTAGTTTCACCTCAATCAAATATTTATTGGCGATCAAATGAAGCACCGAGGATGGTGCCGTCGACTGTCCATCGACGTCGAGTTTCATACGTTCCAGGAGCGTCCACTGGAGATCCAGCCGATTTCCGAATACATTTTTTCGGTAAAAAACCTGAAAACAAATAATCCGTTCTGAAAATTCACACCTTTTTACAATTGATTTCTTCCAACACGCTGTCATGGGAATTTTGATTTTCATTTATCCCACAACAGCAATTTTTCCACTTCATCTTCGACAGGAGGTCTCGTTTTTCGTCAAACTAGTAACTTCAATAGCAACCCTAGCACTTTTTATCACCCAGAAAGATAAGGAAACACATTTTTTAGACGAGTGAATGCATTCACGCACTCGATGAGCGTGAGGTAGCATCGTGTGGCAAATAGCTTTTACTTCGCCAGACTAAAACCGCATTTCGTTCGAAACTAGTGGAGGAAAAGCTATGAGGGTTGATAGCGTGCGATAATGATGGCAGACGATTCTGGAATGCTTTTCATTGAGGGAAGTGATTGGTTCCATTGACAGCAGGGCTGAGCAAAATTCCGAAGCTAGTTTTGCCTCGGTCCAGCTAAGTGATCTTTATTCTTGATTTCTCCACAGGCGGCAACCGCTCAGTGAAGATAGCTAACGTAACTACCGACGAGCGGCAGCTGCGGCAGACTATCGTGCTGCTCAAGTCTGCCGCCCTCGCCACCCGCACCCGCCTCAGGTGGGTGATTAGACGGCAGTTAGATTTGGGATGTGAATAGTGCGCGAGGGGAGCCTGACTGGAGATTGAATGAAGTTTGTTTCTCCGAGCTCAATTTGACTCGCATTAGCAGTTGCAGTGTGTGTTCGTCGATATTTTACATGTGATTTATCGTCTGAAGATTTGGCTCACGTATCATGGCACAGTACGTCGTTTGTGATGTTTTAGTTTTAACGTTTGAAGCTTCTTTCTTGCACCGAAAACTCTCCAAATTCACAAATCTTTTGCATTAAAACGCGCCGCTCATCCCAAGTCTTTTCCCTAGGCAACGCAAAACTAGCAAGAATGCGACCTACGTATAAGCTTGGGCGTATTTCCGGCCTACTGTTTTTTTTTACTTCGTCGAGTGGAGATTTTTCAAGCACTGGATCACTGGAGTTCATTTTCCTGCGTACGAGTGCCGCATTGTTTGGACTAGACCAGTGGTTCCCCAAACTTTTTCAGGCTGGCGCCCCCGTTGGCTCCTAGTGAATTTCTAGCGCCCCCCACAGACGCAAATAAAATCATGCGCCTCTTTCTATAAAATTTAGTACGCTGCAATTTTAAAAGAAAAAGATTAAACACAAATGTGTATTTCACAAATAAAACCCCTTTTAGTGAACCAATATATTTTTTAGCTATTGTAACTGTTTCAGTACTAGAAATCTAGCACGTCTCGGGCAAATTTACGGCCCGGACTCGTCGCCGGTCTCACGACCAATCTCAAAATTCAATTATCAAGTAATATCTCCCAAACTAATGAACGCAGCTCAATAAAACTTAAAACATGTATTCATCAAAACTTAACTGTGATGTTTAGCATGCGAAAATTTTTTAAATATCACCTTCATTCGTGAGTTATATTGCGATACAGGCCGAAATTCGCAGTGATCAAAGAATTTCTTCCAAACTACCGAACAGATTTGAACGAAATTTTGAATAAACATTCCTAACTACCAAATGGTGTTTTTAGATTCTAAAATTTTTTTTTATTTTACCTTCGTTTGCGAGATTTTTTTTCATTTCACCATCATTCATGATTTCACACTTCCTTATTCGCTTTCGTTCGCAAGTTATACAGATATAGGAGGAACGACCGGCTTTTCTACCGGCTGGTTTAACCAAGAGCCGTTTACGTATTAGCCGTATAACTCGCAAACGAAGGCAAAGCGAAAAAGTGTCACTCAGGACTCACTGCAGTGAATGATAGAGAGCGCTTTTTCTCGTCGACGAAAACTTGAGGTCACGGACTGACAGACGGCAAACAGACAGACAGACAGACGGACATGGCGAGCACAATAGTGCATTTTTTCCATAAATGAGAAAATGCGCTAAAAATTGTAACGAGCTAAACATCACCGTTGCTGAGATTAGGTATTAAAATACTAAATTTCGTTCAAATCTGTTCAGTAGTTTGGAAGAAATTTCTTGATTACTGCGAATTTAAGCACTTATTTGCTGCTTAAAGAATGAATGACACTCGCGAACGGAGGCACAGTCGAAAAAATTTTCACAAGCTAAACATCACCGTTCGGCAGTTAGGACTGTAAACTCAAAATTTCGTTCGAATCTTTTCAGTAGTTTGGAAGAAATTCCTTGGTAACTGTGAATTTCAGCCCGTATTTCCATATAACTATGGCAAAAACAATTGAAGGCAAAATTCATAAAATTTTCGCGAGCTTTACATTACCGTTAGGTCCTAATGAATACGTGTACCAAGTTTCATCAAGTTAAGTTAATTAGTTTGAGAGATATTCCTTGATCATTGAATTTGAAAATTGGCCGTGAGACCGGCCGCGAGTCCGGCCGTTAATTTGTCCGAGACGTAAACCCGGGAGAGGTTGAAAAAATATAACTCAGTACTCACTGCAGTGGGTGACAGAGAGCGCATTTTCTCGTTGACGAAAACGCGAAGTCACGGACGGACAGACAGACGGACATGGCGAGCACAATAATGCATTTTTTTCATAATTGAGAAAATGCGCTAAAAAGAGATCTGGGTAAAAAAACCATCTCTGGGAGTCATGAGCTGCACGTGTAGTGTACAAATCGTCAAACAAACGTTCGAACTTCGACTTCGGACTGCTGCCCCTTATCGACCCCCTATCGCCCCCTATCGCCCTTTTCTTCTTTACCGCCCCCCAAAATCTTTCCACCGCCCCTAGGGGGGCGATATCGCCCACTTTGGGAACCACTGGTCACTAGACCAACCAGTTTGGTGGCTCATTTCAACTGAAGTATAAAGACTAAACTTCTCAAACCACCATTCCCGCGGCTACCATATACTCCTCGAAGATTGATTCCATTGTACATCTCTCATTTATTGAACCAACTTTCTTGCCTGCATCGCATTAGGCGTCCCTGGTTTCTTATATAGGTACGCTAGACGTCTGGCTATATAGAATTAACTCTACTCCTATCATTGTAACACAAATGCCTAGTCTTGTACCAGGTATTGTTTTAATATGACAAGAAGAAGTGGGTATGAGTACATAATGCGTAATGTGTTGGAATACATTCTATATACTATATGAATAATATAATGATGAACTCACACGTTACTATGGGAGTTCTGCCACACACAGCAGTAGTGAGAAAGAGAACCACCTTAGGTGAGTCATCAGGGATGTTAACGCTAGTAAGGAGGTAAAAACGAACGTAAACGATACTGAAGCCAACAAAATATCCAAGTAATAGCAGAAAATTCATTACATCTCATTTTCACCATAACAGGTTCATCTTGCTGAGCGATGACATCGGAATTTACGAGAAAGTCACGAAAAAAATTGCTCAATGGCCTCCGGAATTCTCCAGCCGAATTTTACTACAATTTAGGCCAATATTCGTACCAAAAGAATCTTCAATCTTGGAAATGTACGACAGATGCTCAACCGAGCGGCTTTATCTGCCGAGAGTTTTGCCGGACGTCGACAGTGTCGTCTATCTCGACACTGACATGATATTCCTCCGCCCGCCCGAACTTCTTGCCCAGCAGTTTAATCTCTTCGACCAAAAACACGTGTTTGGAATGGCTCAATTGGATGGATACTACTCGTCCATAAACGTTGCTGTGAGGTTAAGGGAGTGAAATTTATTGTAATTTTAATTATAGAGTATCCATATTTAGATAACCTGAATGAAATGTAAATCGACTATTAATACTCATCAGAAATTGAACTGTCGTAGTCTCGTCACACAGTAACCTACGTCATAATACAGTAGTCTCGTCACACACACGAACAAAACAAAATTATGTCATTCTTACTCATAATAATTTTGTCTCAACACTTGAGGTGCCATACGTGGGCAAGGGCCTGAGTGCAGTGCCGTTGTTGGTGAACTTGACGCGCTGGAGGCAAGGGTCTATCGATGAGCAGACATTGGAAGCCATAATATTAGGTTTCAAGGATCGTTTCGACACGGGGGACCAAGATGTGCTCAATATGGTCCTGATTGAGGTTAGTGACTTGTGAAGGCCCCTCGTGGCTATCTCTAATGGGTTCACTTCACTCGAAAACCGCAGCCTTCCTGGCGTAAGTGCGTGTCACTAGGGAAGTGTGACCTTTTCTTTTTCGCCTATGTTTCTAATTCTTTTGCAAATACGTCTGCAATAATACCATATATCTGTGTGTCCGCTCCCTCCCCCTCTTTCCCCATGCATCCCACTCACGCCCCGAACCCGACGGGCTCGTCCCAGAGGGCTAGGGGCACCAATCCCGCCCCACGTTCACGTTTATAACCAGTATCATCCTATCACCCATCTTCATCTTCACCCACTCTTCAACCCCATCACATGACCGCTCGAGATCCCAGACTTACTGAATCAAACTTAAGAGAATTGGCCCCAGAATACCAGCTGACCGACCCAAAATCTTCCACGCTACTTTTAAAGAACATGACGCCCCATTAATTAGACAAACTGACACTGCTAGTGGTTTCTACGCCGTGACGGATGACGCCACTGCAATCGACAAGCTGACATCTAAGAAAGCGACCGAAGCATTCGAAATAAATCTGACCTCCTGACCTCAGGGCAAAACGGACCATTTTTGTAAGACAGCTAGACAAGGACGTAGGAAGCCACACTGCCGACGAAAATAAACACGAAATCACCACTCAACATAGCAGGCTACATATACAGGACATCATAAAAATCAAACACTACACACATGTCATCAAAATCATAACCACCGACACCACATCTACTACTCCATCTTGCTCTGAATGCGCCGCCAAAGACCACACTTACACTCAATGCACTAATAACTACAAAAAATGTCTAACCTGCCACAAGGATCACCGCACCCTAGCCGCCAACTGCCCATACCGTAAACAACAAATAAAATCAAACACAAAACCAACCAAACATACCTTGACATAGCCAAACACGCAATACAACAAACAAACACTCCACAACATAGCCTCACACTGACCGACAAGACGCAACTAAAACTGACTGCTATCATCCTTGAAGCCCATATCGCCAGCCTCTCCCGCCAGGAGGGTTTCGGCAGCATCCTATCTAAATCACTGAAAGCCAACTATGACATTGACACGACATTCCCTGACAGACTCCGCTAAAATATTCAACTTCTTTTACAATCAACCCGAGACCAAGACTCCAGACACCGACTTCAACCTCAGAACCGAATTCATTGATGACGACGACCTAAGACGATCATCACTAAACCTATCAAGACTGCAGACTGACGACGAAAGCGCCCAGAATGACCCTCCACCCCCGCTATCCATAAGTCACAAGGAAGACAGTGACCCTAAGAAAAGGAAAATCAGCGACGAACATTACAAGAATCCCTTATCTCAGGACTCGGACTTGACGAACCGATCCCCATCAAACTATTTAGGAGCTCAAAAGACCCCGACAAAATCCCTGTGGAACCACGCAACCTTTGGTTTGGCGACGAACTCAGAAAGAAGGAATACGGACTGAAGCCCTCGGTGAAGGACGCAGACTCTTCAAAAGTACTCGACTACCTGAAACGAGACAGACTGAAAATTCACCATCCACTAATAAACATCGTTCCTCACGACACCTTCATCAGCATGGACAAACACTCAACAACAACCACCAAAGAGACTAAACACTCTTCATTCAAACACCCCCAACAATGATCCCCCATCCAACACTAAAGGTAATACAACATAACGTTCGCCACTGGCACAACAACAACAGATTCACACTTGCAAACATCTACAACCACATAGACCCAGACATAATACTAATCAACGATCACTCCATTACAGACGACAACACTACTTAAAGATATTCAACTATAACGTTCATAGCTGCAACAAAGACAACTCAATACACTCCGGTGCTGCCATAGCAATTAAACGCCATATCCCATACAAGCTACACGATAACTTCCATACAGATATGCTCGCTATCACAGTAGATACCCAACAAGGACCCATCACTATAGGAACGACATACATCTCGCATAGACTACATCAATTACTTCGATTTCCACACACTCTTTATTAGGCCCCATCCAGTATACCTCCTCGCAGACATAAACGCAAGACAAACGACACTAGGAAACAGCTCCTCCAACCACATAGGAAGACATTTACACACACTAATAACCCAACACAAATGTACACTCATCGGCCCCTACTTCCACACCCTCATCACCCACAACAGCACGACCGCACCAGACAATGTCATAACCAACAACAGAGCATTCCACAACATACACCTACAACCAGGTCCCATCACACCGTCAGACCATATCCCAATAATAGCCACAATATCTGCTAACCCCATACAAATTCCCATTCGTCCCCGTAGATCTTTTCACAGAGCAAACTGGACCCAATACAAACAATAAACACTATCACAGCACACAGTACCCACACAACCAGACCCTACATAAGACGAAATAGACACACACTTAGACAACTGGACAAAACACTTACAGAACGCAACCGACATCTCCATCCCCACCATAACACATCGCATTATTCCCGGCATCAAACCCACTCACGAAACCTTACTTATACAAACACAATATCAGGCCACCTTTCAATACATCCACAACCACGGAACATCGCTAGCACTCAACAGACAACTCATCGCCCTACGCCGAAAACTACACAATGCAAACAGACAACTCCAAATACGGACATGGCAGAACCTAATCAACACTCTGGAAAAACAAACAGATCCCAAGAAATTTCGGTCCTCTCTAAAACGTATGCTAGGCTCCAACACCAAACAAACCGTCCCATACCTCAAACACAACAACATCCAACAAGACAAGCCAGAACAAAAAGAAACTATTTTCCGCAAACACTGGCAAGACATATTTACTCAGAATGACACAGACAACGAAGACATTGACACGGATCACATCCGCACCATACAAGAACAAGTAAATAACAACGTTCACTTTACTATCCATGACACAAACATGTGCGGGCTCAACGGGGTAGCGAAAAGTTGACTTGCTTTTTCTCCCATTTATTTCATTTACTTGAGTGACGTAAGCTGAGTGACGTAAGCTGAAAATAAGATTTAATATTAGTTAATAGGTCGAGATAGACATACATGAAACTTAAACTAAGCAGGAGGTAGACTCACATTATTTAGACTTTAGACATTGTTTAGTACTAAACGTTATAGAATAGATGAACGTTCTTATTTGACTTCTCGATAACAAAATTACAACTGACATGACAATGATGACAGGAATTGTTTATGTCGGCATGGCCGCGATATTTCATTTGTTACTCACACGAGGTGGTTTTGGCAGGCGAGAGGATAAGACGACAAAGTTGACGATAATTACGTTTAAGATTTCCGAGCTTCAATGAGTTAGGCCAGATATACCAAAATCTTGACATTTAATTTCTTATGCTTAAATTTGCCAACGCTGAGTTGGGCTTCAATTACAGTTATAGCGTCAACGCTAGGTTGGGATTCGATTCCGATAATAGTGCCAACGTGGGGTTGGGCTTGCTTTCTGTTCTAGTGCCAACGGCTGTGGTTGGGCTTGGCCTACGATTACGGTACCTGAGATCATAAGGTAGGAGGTTAAGTTTAGATGTAATGAATCACAAGTCTGCAGGGATGCCGTGTAGACAACGCCGGGAACAAGGAAGTTTCCCGCAAAAATTTTCTTTATGACTGAATCGAAGAAAACGGAACGGCGTCTCTCTTACATTGCTACATAACATTCGAATGATTATAACGGCAATGGTGAGGCAAATAGCATAAAAAATATCAAATCAGTACATCCAGTTATGCGACAAATAACCCTTTCAAAATAATTACTCCTAGATCAATTCATAATAGAAAATAGATATCAACTATGAATATAGTCAAGAGCCTATGAGCAGGTGTTCGTGGTCATGGCCGCCAAGATATCGGCGCGGCATGACTCGCAGTGACAACTTTAATATGCACTCAATAACATGAATTTAGAATCACAATTCTGGAATCATACACAGTGAAGGCTTTAGAGGAATACATAAATATATAGGCCTAATGAGCTATAGCAACATATTAAGGGTAACACCGGGAGGGCTCGCGGAGCCACACACTACTCGCTCGAGCTCTAGGTGCCCACTGGTGAGGAAGTGACGCTGCTAGGAACGCGGGAACCGTTTGAGGGGTCGCTGCGTTCACGTGGTGGTAATTTCGTTGATCTTTGCGATATTTTCCACGCACTTGTGGAGTGAACGCCGGGATGAGTGAAGATTTTAAGAAAGAATAGATGAGGACAGGAAAATTTAGTGCGTTGAATCTGACGAGTGACGAACGACGTCACAATCCATACAACCACGGCGACCTAACCCGACTCCACCCAGTAGACTTCCCACCCATAACCATCCGAGAACTACAACGCACACTAAAAACATTCAAACAGAAAGCACCTGGACCCACAGGCATCACAACGCTCCAACTCAAACACTTACTCAAAACATGATCTACTACCTGCTATACATATTCAACCATGCTATCTCCGCCGGTTATTTTCCCGACTCTCTAAAACACGCCATCATGATCTTTCTCCCCAAACCTAACACTTTACAACTCCAAGTCCAAAACTACAGGCCCATCTCACTTTTCGACATCCACGGGAAGCTTTTAGACAAAGTACTCAACAACAGATTATACGAACACCTCACCATTCACAACACACTAAATATTAGACAACACGGTTTTAGGAAACACAGAGGTACCCATACTGCACTAGCTACATTCCACGAAACACTCGCCATACACCTAGCACAACGACACACCATTGACACAGTGCTCCGCGATGTGACCAAAGCAAAGCCTTTGACAAGGTTTGGCACACCGGACTGCAATATAAAATCATCCAACTCAATCTCCACCCATCCTTCACAAGAACACTTTCAGACTACCTCACAGTCGTCACAGACAGAACAGCATCCATCAGAATAGGCACTCACATAGGTCCTCCACTCC